GATGTTCTTCCTGTCATATTCCCAGGTAACAATGAAAACTGAGCCATTTAGCCCCGCCTACCGCACACGTGCGCATGCCTTATGTCATGCTGGGCGTGTCATATGCAAATGCATGCAGTATGGGACATTTCTCGGACAATCACGGTTGTGATTGGTCAATACACCTGGAGGTGGGGCTTAGTAGATCGGAATGATATCAACTCAACCCGCTTTGATAAATCGAAAAAGCGGAGTTTCTTGTTCATTCCATTATTTTGGTAATTTTCACCTAATTCAGAAACCAATTCACCCTCCAATTTACAGACCTGTCTCTTCAAACATAATTTGAAGCTTTGTAACGTCATGAACTTAGCACTCTCCTGAAGACGGTCAGAGCATACTGACCGGAACGTCGAGTTTATACCTCTGGTTCCTTTCATTATTTAGTATCTCCACCATGCAAAGCCTCAAATCTTACTGAACTTAAAATGATTTATTGTCTCACTCCAAAAGGTTTCATGTAAGATTTGACAAGGACCTTATCCTTCGCAAATCCTTCTTACGTATAACAAAAGTTTGAATAATTGTCATCGTGCAACTCTGTTTAGCCATTTTCATGAAACACATTAATTATTTTTGGTGCAATCAAGATTTGGTGCAGTGTGTTCACACCAGAGGGAGCGGATGACTACATCGAAACTAATGTGCACAGTCCTGGCCGATACAGGTATGTTAGGTATTTTCGATGCAGCAGCATCAGCAGCAGCAACAGCAGCTGCAACAGCAGCAGCAGCAACAGCAGCAGCAACAGCAGCAACCACAGCAGCAGCAGCAGCAGCAGCAGCAGCAGCAGCAACAACAGCAGCAGCAGCAACAGCAGCAGCAACAGCAGCAACCACAGCAGCAGCAGCAACAGCAGCAACCACAGCAGCAGCAGCAACAGCAGCAAGAGCAGCAAGAGCAGCAGCAGCAGCAGCATGCAGTTTCAGTTTGTGGAAGCAGCAGTTTGTGGCAGCAGCCGTTTGTGGCAGCAGCAGTTTGCGCGCAAGAACGACGTGATAGCACTATAGTTACCAAAATGAAAAAAGGAGCTATAACTTTTTTTTCAAAATTTACCAATTCTAGAGCTTTAATCAACCGTAATCAATCATTTCTACAAAAATACATTTTCAAAAATGATAACTCCGTCTCGCCTTATCCTTCTCGTTCGCACAGAACCATCGGTGCGCTTCAGAACAACGAGGCGTTCAGCGCTGCGTTCAACTGTCCGTCTGGAAGCTACATGAACCCGGACGTCAAATGCAAAGTCTGGTAGCCTAGTACTTTCTCCAAGAATTCATCTTATGCTTTAGCGGCTATCTTAGAGGGCGTAATTTGTCAAAACAATGAATGCACAAAAGGTTCGTTCATGCAAATTGCTGCAGCAAAACAAAGCCATTGCCCTCTGCTACGCAAAAGGTCTATCGTGGTAAAGTGTTCATCGTATCATAATATTCTATTCTCCATTTGCAAAACATCAAAATTGAAGAGCAAATTACAACTTAACTGTGACCATATTCTTGATTGGGGTTGAAACTTTAATTTTTATTTTCCGGTTAATTTACTGGTAACCGTGTTCATAACACGAACAGTGTGGACGGAACAAAGTACTTCTAGAAATGTACTTCTGTCAAGTTGTTTTTATTTAATTTAAGGCATAGGGCTAATAGTATCATTTGCATTTATCCCTTTTACCCAGTAAATGGCGTCTTTAAAACATCTTCCGAAGGTTAAAAATGAGTTAGATTTGTCGCTGTCATCATTTTCTAATGATAAAGATTTTTATGTTTTGATTTTGTTTTATATATATTGAATTTTGTATTCCTCCTGATAATTGCTGTCTTTGTATAAAATTGAAAAATAGATAATAGTCATGTCTACATATCAAAGAGAAGATACAACATTTGCAAACATAAAAAAACCCGAAATGGTCAAATTATCACGAAATACCTGACTGGATTGTTAGGGAATGACAGTCTAAAGCATCCTGCAAAGTTGTGGCTCCTGGTGTGCTGACATTTTTAAGAAAAACTGTAATTTTCCAACACTGGTCGGCCGACCAGCGCTGGAGAACTTACTCGCTTTTTTTTCAAAAAGAGCTCATAAGTTTTCATATTTAGTTCGTATGCGTTTTCTTTGCAATTGATTACACTCCTGTGAAGAAGTACACTCCTGCTAGACTGATTTTCTGATTTAACAATTCCCCAAAGTCTATAAATTGCTCCGTTTCATCTTAAGTGGGGTCAGGGAGCCCGACTTCAAGAATATGATTGGTTTTCTTGGTTTTTCCAGCATCTACGCACCCAAAACGTGAAATGGTCAGTGTAACAATATTTCCTATAACATTTTAATCCTCCAAATCCATTTATTTCTGAAAATTGCAGCAAAAGCAAATGTTGTACATTCCCTTTAAGTAGCATTAGAAGGATTAGTTTTAGTTGGGTAAGCGGGCTAATTATGGTTTATGCGAACTTTCGTTTTACATGTAATGGCAGGGCAGTTTTTAAGGTGTTGGACGTACAGTTTGGGCAATAGAGCCTGAAAGTGAATCACCTCTGTTGGCGCGCTTCCGGACCCTTGAACAGGAAAATTAACGCGCACAAATTCAAACATTGTTTTTAGTACATTGATTTCTTAAGAAAATCGCCCCCCCCCCAAAAAAAAGGCCTTTGTAAAATTGTTAGTAGCATACCAATTTGTGGAAAATGATAAATTGCCTGACGTGAAAGAGAAATGTCGTGCCAAAAATTGACCTTTCACTTCCGAAAGCTAAAGTAAATGCGAACTGTAGTGCAAATCGGTGTACTCGTACAGTACATCGGATGAAATTTTTGTGGCGGTCATTTGATAAAAGCGTTAAGTTAAATAGAAGACCAAAATGTCTTTTAGGGTTTACAATATTGTTAAATAAACTTGAAGGACTCATTAGCATTTTACTAATAACAAATCTAAAGTGATCGCTGCTATAAGGACTGCATGTCCAGCCAGCCCGACTAAATCTAAAATTCATAATAGCTCAATCTTGGTGTCGTTATACATTCTCGTTCTCACGCGATTACGCGATGTGAAAACAAACGTGCACGAACAAGGAGACCTAGGAACGAAAATGCCGGATATGAAAGGTTGTAAATGAAATTCGTTTTTACCCATCTCCAAGCGGTTTTTATTTTTCATTTTTTGTTATTAAGAATGTCAAGATAAAATTCCCAAATAAAAGTTTCTCATTGTGGTTACAGTCAGAAATCATTCTGTCAAAAATGTGTAGCAAGAGAAAGGGCAACCCCGTGTAAAATGACCATAGACGGGCCGAGAGATGGTTCCGGAAGTAGTGAGCCAAGTGACCTTTAACCTTTGACTTTCGGGCTCTATTCAACGCTGTGCATAATACAAGTTATAATTATAAAATTCGATTTATTCTAATTCCGATAATATGTATCAGTTAGTTACTAGTTTAATTTAATGATTTTAAACAAGACATTCATCCATTTTTTAAAAAATATTTTGCTGTAGTATAAAATGGGCTCAAAGCATCATATGGTGTCGGGCGTAGTCGACAAATTGATTTTTCAGTTTAATTAATAATAATTTGGCTAAAAGTAACAGCTGAGCTGTCGAACATTGTTAGAAATAAACTTTATTTTTGCAAGATACAAATAATAAGCTTCAAAAAGTTTTGGCATTTAGGTCGCTACCCCACACACCATCGAACATGTCAACATGACAGTATTTCCCCACATGTGCTTAGTCTAGCGCCCTCTTTCGTGGTTGACAACTTAATGGGCGTTAGGAGAGGTTCGCACCCACCGCCGCCCTAAACATGTCAACAATAACAGGGCGCTGGGAAGGTTCCAATCAGTGGCGTAGCCAGAGGGGGAGGGCAGAGGGGGCACTTTGCCCCGCTGGCGGATTTTTTTGACAATTTTTTTTCCAGCAAATATTTTAATCAATGGTTAGAGAGTTCTGACATCAATCCAAAACAAGAAAACCCGCTCAAACAATTAATGCGCCGTGACAATGGGCATATAATTTGCAGTATGCATAATAATGGTCAGTTTTGAAGAGCGCCCCAACCTCCCATTTCGAACAACGACTGAAAAAAGGTGCCATGGACCCGGCGTCCTATCCTAGGTGGCGAGCTGCGACAAAAGATCGCGTCAAAGCTGCAACTGTGGATACGCAACAATGAACGCTGCAATAATATTGTGCATTTTAATAAAGGCACACTAACAAACATTCGTTGTTATTCTGTTTAAAAAAATTTTTTTTTAAAACGTTGATTAATAATAAAACAGTCCAATTTAACTTTTTATCAATTTTCTGAATAAGTATTCTGTGTGAGCAGCTTTTTATTTATTTTTTCAAAGATTTGAGGCACACAAATCTATATGTATGTGCAATGTACTAATTTTATTTTTCTAGATTCTTAACCAACCTATGTGGGCTTTTCTCAATTTGTTTCATTCATGTTTACTGTGATTTTGATGTTTTTAATATTGTAATTTATCATGCAATTTGACCTTTGGGTCACAGTGTGATAATGTGAATACAAAAATATATACCAATTAAAGGGTCAAGCCTGCACTGGGCCAAGTTTGTGCAAAAGGGTAACTGGTATTCTTGGCATGTGAAACGGCTTAATTTAAAGAAAGAAGACATTTTTTTAAACAATTTATTCAAATTTGATACAGTGATTTAACCACTCTCATTGTTGGAATTACCCCTCATATGGCCCAATGCCTTCAACGTGGCCGCCACCTCTTCCACACAAAAGTTCTGCACGAAGTCTAGTCCATTTCAAACTTTGCATAACAAACCATAACCAACAATCTTAGCCAGATAAACTTGGCCCAGGCCTACAGATTTTGACCCAAGACAGAATAACAACGAATGCTCAGTCATCCGTGGCCACAGACAAAAGCAATCCGTCGAGTTCTTTTCCAAATACTGGCGAATGGGTTTGCAACCGCCTACTCTTTCATACTGGCGATTATTGTAATACCTGTTCGCCGGTATACAAGAGGAGCGCGGTGCAACCCGTGTTTGCTGGTATACAGGGTGAGTAAAAAAAACCCGAAACCCAAATGTCGTAACCATTGTTTTAGAGAATTTCTGCATGTAGCACTCTAGGATATAAAAGCCCAATTCATAATCTTTGTTGTAGTACAAGTATCATTCAAATCACTCATGTACTTTTGAAGTTACGGAATATTAAACACAACCACCTTTTTAAGGTTCTGTCCGCGGTTCACAAAAAGTTCAGTGTTCTTTCTGTAAAACGAACACAAATCACATATAGGGACGTGTATGAATTGTTTTCCTTTTTGTGATCCGTGGACACAACTTTATGTTTAAAATTCCATAACTTGAAAAGTACATGAGTGATTTGAATGATTCTTATACTAAAAGAAAGTTTATGAATTGGGCTTACATATCCTAGATTTTCAAATGCTACATGAAGAACCTTACTAAAACAGTAGTCCCGACATTTGGAATTCGTTTTTTTAACCACCGTGTATGTAAAAAAATGCGACGAATTAATTGGAAAGAGGACCCATTGGCGTTTCATAATTTACATGATCTTTAAGTTATTTGAAAATAATATATAATTTACACATCATCTGGGTTTCCTTTTTTTTATATACCCCCTGTACATGTACTGTACGATTGATCGATCACTCTTGACATCCAAAATGGCGGACCTTGCACCAGGCATGCTGTAACTGTAGTTGTATTCGCAGTGTTATTAGAAAGTTATACGGGGGAATGGCGAATGATAGAAGACTAATGGAGCAAATTTATTTTCATGACCGGTATAGGTGGCAAGTTTGGGGCCAGCTGAGGATAATTTTATCAGTTTGGTTTGAATTAGGAAAAAAAACGTGCACAGGGTAAAGCGTGAGTATTGTTTTTAAAGCCAGAGTCCATCATTTGCAGCTATCCAAAAAGTAACTGGCGTAATTATTGTTGAAAAACATACTTGGTTGAAAGATAGTAAGGGGACTAAACTCCCTGTGAAATTATTCTTTCTGGCAAGCTGTCATTTTGAAGAAATCAACGAAGGAAGGCCTTTCCAACGGTGCGTCTTAAGAAGCACCGTAGGAAATTCAAATTAGTAGTTCGTTTTGTTATATTCGGCGAAGCGCGCGCAAGCATTGGCACGACGCACACGGTACGCGCGCATCAGATCAGTGCGCGACATCGCGTAGCTCCAAGGCGGCTCAGTGAGAATTCAAGTCCAATTCAAAACCTGATTCAGCAACTTTTGATTTGAAGTCGAGATCCTACAATGTTGTTTTTCTCAAAAAATGCAGCTGAAGCTAAGCTGAAACTTCATCAGATTGGTTGTTCAGCATCCTTCTTCAGATATTGAGCACTTTTGTCGCTTCAAACGACCAAAATGCACAAATTACAAATGATGGACTATACCTTTAAATTGAAATGAAAGCCGGTCCCGTTCCCCATATAGGTTGGGGATTTGTGTAATCAACCGCAAGATTGACCTTGTTATTTGTAAAGGTTGAGCACAGAATAATAGTAAAGAACACTGCGTCAACGAAGCTTAAAAAATGGGGGAAAAATAGTACCGGTATTAAACCCTGCGGGCCCCCGGGTAAAGGTCTTAACAATTGCCCTTATTGAAATATCGAATTGCCGAAAAGTCCTGGAGAGCATAAACAACTTTGCCACCATTGTCATGGCCGAGCTCTATGGGCCGAGGTCAGTTTGTTGTTCGCAAGGTTCATTGTGTCCAGCATGATATCCGTCATGGTGTAAGTGCATTGCGCAAGTTACCTATCATGGACATATACGTGTCATGCAGTGGCTCATCCAGGGTTCGGTGGGTTTTTTTCAAATTCAGTTATTTTTTTTCCCAAAAATTTTGCCCAAAGTTGTTTTTTTTTGGGGGGGGGGGACGGACTATTTTGACGTTGGTGGCGCAACTTACACCCCTATTGTACTACTCGAAAATAGGCCACATACATATCACCAACCAAGGTCAAGTCGTGTAACTAAAAAAAAAATTACCAAAAAAAAATTGACATCCTTTTTTTAAGGAAAAACATGGAGGTGTAGCAGTGCCTGTCTTTATTTTATTGCGACGTCACTTAAAAAAAACCATAAATTAATTTGTACCGTAGGCCACCGCAAATATATTTTCGCATATGTATATGTGAATTGTTTTCGTTTTGCTGAAATAACAATTCTTGTGATCCCGTGCACAGAACTTTAAAACGGTGTTTGTGTTCGAAATTTCGTAACTTGAAAAGTACATGAGTGATTTAAATGATTTTTGTACTAAAAGAAAGCTTATGAATTGGGCTTTCATATCCTAGATTTTGAAAGTGCTACATGCAGAATTTCTTAACAAAATATGTCCCGACATTTGGGTCACCTTGTTGTTTTACTCACCCTGTACTTCCCCGAATTCCAAGGGAATTAGTTGCATTCTGTGCCGATCTACGGGAACTCATTGTGGAGTAGCCCCCCACCATGGATGACAGGCATACAACTTCCAAGACTCAACTGGCGCTCGAGGACCCTGTCGCCTCCAAGTCGCCCAGTAAGATTCCCCTCATTTTGCTCGGGATCTTCGCTGCTGCCACCTTCGCCCTAATGATCACCACAAGTGAGTAGAGATCGAGCTTTTTCCGGAGGATGGAGTGTTTTGAAGGGAAAAAAAGGTTTTCAATATTTTAATTTTTTTTTAAATATGTAAATGAAAATATAAATTACAAAAATGATATATAAATTAATTTTAAAACATCAAAATATATATGATAATTTATCTAATAAGCAGTCGCATTTATTCCCCTGTGGTTGATTCTCACGGTGTGATAACTACAATTAATTGTTTGAAATCCTTTATTAAAACATTTCCACCCAATATCTCAGATACAGAGACCGGCAGTTTACAGAAATTTACAAGGGGCCAATCCTTACTAAGCTCAGAAAGAAAACTGCTGAGCAAAGTCAGGTTACCAGCCATTTCGTCACACAGTGTATATATTGCTCATGGCTGGTTCTCCTCAGATGGCTTTTGCTTAATATAGCACAAACATTTCCTAAGCAACATGGTCTGGTGACGACCCTTTGAACACGGTTGAAAAGATATGGTAAACTTCCAATCACGTTTTGCTTGGGTTTTTCGGATGCTATTTTGTTAATCAGACTTGAATGTTTGCATGCATGGCCACGAGTATAAGATTTGACATCAGCACCAGGTGTATGTTTTGTGTAAGTTGTGGTGGGGACCATTAAGCCGACGTTTCGATCACGAGGGCATGTTCGCAGTGGCATAGCCGGGGGTGGGGGGGACACGTGCCCCCCCCCCCCCCCCCCCCCACACACACACACACAAATTCCCAGTGCCATCCCCAACACATTGCAGCTACTGGCTGGCCGGTGGGCCCAAGAAAATTTGGGCAAATTTTGTTGTGGATCCGCCCTTGGTGCTCCCATAACATGCTGGTACCCCTGTGCCCCTCCCTCCACCTTGAACAAAATCCTGGCTACGTCACTGAACATGCATGTTTGTCTTCAGAAATGGACGAATTTATTGACGTGTTTTTCAGTTGTTTTTGCACTGCAAAAGAACGACATTGCCGCCAAACTGGACGCACTGAAGGCAAACAAACCACCGGTGCCCGTGGATCGGGAGACGTGCACGACGAAGCAATGCTATGACTCCGGTAAGACAGGGATCTATTATGCCCATGCACTTTATTCGAATGACCAGGTCGTACCGGTGACAACATGACCGACGCCATTTACTGGTCCTTTAAACTATCGCCACGAAGGAATAATCAGTTCAGAAACCGCAATGACACATTGTCATAAAATTATGAACTAATGAACCATGCTTCCACCTAAGATGTAATTTACTGTGAGAAAACTTTCAAAATTCCGATATTTCGATCAGTATTAACTCGGGAATCAAAAACTAAAAGCGGATAGGCCGAAAGGCAAGATTTTGTTCTTTGTCTAATATCGCTTTCTCTTCATTTCTACAGCATATGCATACCTGAGCAGTATGAATCAGAGCAAGAATCCATGCGATAATTTCTTCGAGTACGCCTGCGGTGGCTGGGTCCAGCGTTACGCCGAGCTGAACCGGACTAGATTCTCTACCTTCTCTAAACTGAGAGACGAGTTGTCGCAAAGACTCAAAGGTATCTCATGCCACTCAACATAAGCTCATGAAAACACCTGTCATCTTCCAATGTCGTCTCATCTAATCATCTCAGATTCTCCTCCTGTGATTTTAGTGTGGGACATGTTGCCATCATCTTCTTCATCGCCCACGGTCATCGCCATAGTCTTTTTCATGGACTTTGTCACTGTCACCATTAGTGTCATCGTCAGCATATTAATAGTCGTAAAATTATCGCTGTAGTCATCTTTGGCAAGTCATCGTCATTTTCGAAACTATCTTCGTCATTGCCATATATATCTTAATCACTCCCACTGTCGGTTCTTTTTGTCACCGTCATTAATGTCGACATCAAGACTTGAGTGCGACAATGGCAGCACCGTCCAAACTTTGACCCCACAGTCGCCATGGAGACATCCTCATCGACAGTAGCGTCATCGGTGGATGTAGTCACTGATCTAGTGTCGACATTGTCATGATATTTTACTGATTGTGTGAGTACGCTGTTTAAGAATTTGTCATTAAAACTGCCATATTGGTCATTTCTCTATCAGTTATATTTGAACGGAGTCCCGTTGCCGGCGAACCCTCGTCATATCACATCGTGAGGAACGACTACCAGTCTTGCGAAGATCTGGGTAAGTTGTCTCATCTACCAAGCAAAGGACACAATCTATGGATAGCAGTTTGGATCTTTAGGACAGGACTCACAGGCACATTAAATATGTTTCTTTTAAAATTATCAGAGTGACATTTGCTTGACAACATTTTACTAACAGAAAACCAATGACAACTTCTATTAATGTCAGTGCAAGGCTCTACTCACAGAAAGATTTTGTTGCGATTGTCGTTAGCCTTTGATATCTGTGCGCATCGTGCAGCAGTGCAATTGAACTATTTATAGATTTATGTTTCACATTCATTTTGAGACTTCAACATTATCCAACAGACACCATCAACGAGTTGGGCGCCAAACCTCTGACGGACGTGCTGACTTCGCTGGGCGGCTGGCCGGTGCTGGGGTCTACCCCTGCCGGCGGTAACTGGAACGCCACCGAATTCGACTTCGAGAAACTCTGGGCCGCCCTCAGGGGCACATACGACGTGCAGTTGATTGTGAAAACGGGCATCATGCCCGATGTTAACAACATGACCAAGTACAAGTTGGCTGTAAGCTCTTTAAGGATACACATTCTTACACATTTCTGGTCAAGGTCGATTACAGGTAAAGCTGAAAAAAGAAATTGTTAAAATCACAGGTGGCTGAAGTCTTTTCTCTTTATGTTTAATGTTGTTTCTTTCTGGTAATGAAACCAATGATTCCTCAAAAGTACCCTAAGCACTGTAGCTCGAAAGCCTGAAGAAACCTGTAGAGAGAAGACAGTGAGAAGAAATTACAGTTTTAGAGGTGGGAGGAAAAGCCCAGAGGAATATTCTGAGGAAAACCCACGGAATCAGGTAGGGACTGAAAACCCAATCCACATATTGGCCCGGGCGGGATTCGAACCCGGGTCACAGCGGTGGAAGGCGAGGAAAGCTACGCCAACCTGACTTCCCTGACTCTGTGTGGGATGGGTTGCAGCTTATGGTTTGGAACGGTTGCAGCTTATGGTAAAGAACGGCTGACGCTGTCAATAAGGCAAAATGGGTCACCCTGCCCCTGCTGTTATGTAACGTTATTTTTGTTGTAACGTTATTTGCAATATCGGGTCTTTTTCTCATCAGGCGGCAGATCCTGATTTCATGGTACCAAATGACGACATCGAGAAGAAGCACATGCGGGGTGTGAAGACTCTGGTAAGGAAGAGCTCGGGGTTTGCTATGGCGTGCTTTTATCGGAGAGATTCAATTCACACAATGAAAACGCAAATCAATATCAGTTCAGATTGCTTCAGATTGTGCGGTGACTTTTAGTTGTATCGTTGAAATAGAAATGAAGCAGTCTTTCCATTAGCACGTTATATAAGGCGTATCTATATACGCATCGGACACAATGCAGACTGAAAATACGCTTACAGATAACTGGCTAAATAACGATGTGTTTCGTTCTTTTAGATTATTGTTTCACGTTTCTTTAAGATTATTTTTTCACCGGCAATTAGTTTTGTCTACAAACCACAAGTTTTGCGTCTTCACCATTTATGATACTGCATCTTTATGATCATGACATTCATTTGTTTTCTCCAGATTGACGAACCAGACCATTCTGAGGGTTTTGCGGTGAAGATTCTTTTGGATGAGAATTATGCGAAGGTAGGCGGTTCTTCTTTTTCCCCTGCCAGCACGTTGAACTCTTACACATTCAAAAATTATCATGGTGGATGAAAAGGCATGTATACATAAAATGAAATCAACGCACATGGCATCATTTTTGGGGCAAGTTCATTCAAATTCCGTATGGCATGGACCACATGCTTGGAGGTCTTTGACAATCACATTGATATAGTATAATACAAGGGCGTTCCCGCCAACTTGCCACGCCTGCGTCCCGTCATCGTCGCAATACTCGAATTGTGCCCGATTGTGTTTTTGGCCCTCCATATAGTCTCATGATTTTATGCAATTATGTTTGTTTCACCGACATTTTTGTTTCAGGAGAGGAAAGCGTACCTCCAGTACCTGATCGACATTGCCGTGGCTCTGGGGGCAGACGAGACAGTAGCGAAGGAGGATATGACGAACCTCATCGAGTTCGAGTCGTATATGGCTAATGTAAGACATTCGTAGAAATTCGTCAAAGATTCTGTCCTTGTCGATGTTTTTTTAAAGGGCAATTGAATTTGAAACTTTGTTTTGTTAATTTCGAAATGCACCTGTATCCAATTTACACATCTTGCAGCCTAAATGGACGTAACTTTTAAGGGTGTGGTATTATTTGTTAAGTATGAAAATGATATCTACGTAGATGTTAAATATATGATAGGTTAAGAAAGTACACAATTTTAAAATGATCGTTTTTCATTTTTTTTCTACAGTTGACTGTGTTGCATCCAGACGCTGGTCCCATTGAAAACACTCTCAAGGAAATTGGAATGGATGTGGTAAAGATTTGACGTTATTGCTTCGAGAGTTGGTCTCTTTTCCAGGCTTTCTGTTTTTGTTGACGGCCTTTCAACACAAATAGACATTTCATACCAATATCATGACATGAGTCGTGTTTAAGGCCTAGACGTAACAAAGTTTAATTCTCATATAATTTGAGTTTCAAGACAGTCAAATAATGGTCAGATTCAGTACGCAAGGTTTAGCCAATTACCGTGCACTCCATTTTTTCCCTTGTAGATGAACCTGAACACAACTTGTTAAAACTACTAATTATTTATCATCACATTTGCACATTAGACCCAAATTATCATCCGGTTTGCTAAGTCTATAATTATTTACTTCCAAGATCGACTGGACACGTTTCTATCAACTAATGTTGCCGGCAAGTGTCGACCCAGGAGTAACAGACGACGAGCCCATCGTCAACTACAAGCCAGACTACATCGGCAACGTCACCATGTGGCTTGAAGACCAAGACATCAGGTGGGTGCAAGAATTGTCAAACGACAATCCTGACCTAAAGTTCACGGGAAGAATCAGTTTAAAGAACTTTGAAAGTATTTCTGACACTTGAATGCCTTGCCATCAACATAAAATCCCCCTACCATCGTTGTTTTGCTGAATGTTGCTTGCCGGGCTACTAAAAGGGACTAGCAGTAAGTCGTAGCAGCTGCAGTCGATATTATATGTAGATAATTTTGGGCGGGCTTTGTTATAGAAAAGCAAAAAGGTTTCGTCCTATGAGGCTAAAATATTCTGCGATAACCAGTCCTGCATATTTCTCGTATTTCGAGACTCATCACTCCCTATTGTACTTCGGAACATGCCATCCGACCAGGGGCGTCAATCGCTTCTCAAAAGTGGGTGGACATACCTTGATCAGAAATAATGCAAGCGCGAAGTGCGAAGCACTTACAGCGTGGGTTCGGGGCCCGCTTAAGGGCCCCGAAAAAATTCGGATTGTAGATGCTCATGTGGTGTGATCTGAGGCAATTTCTGACCACTTTAATCAATATTTTCTGAACAAAAGATAATGATTTAAACATCATTTTCGGGGTTAAAGTCATTGAATAAGCTATTATATTCTCAGCTAAAGGCTTGGGGTTCGGGGCCCGCTTAAGGGCCCCGAAAAAAATGATTCTAGATGCTCTGTGGTGCGATCTGAGGCAATTTCTGACCACTTTAACCAATATTTTCCCAGCAAAAGATAATAATTTGAAAATCATTTTCGAGGTTAAAGTCATTGAATAAGCTCTTATATTCTAAGCTAAAGGCGTGGGGTTCGGGGCCTGAGGGCCCCTAAAATGTTGGATTCTAAATGCTCTGTGGTGCGATCTGAGGCACTTTCTGATCACTTTAACCAATATTTTCTTAGCAAAAGTTACATTGTAGTACATAATAGGGCCCTGTAAATGAGGCACGAGTTCAAACATCTGGGGGGGGGGGGCCATTTGATATTGTGTCCCCCCCCACCCTTCAAAAAGTGGGGGGACATGTCCTCCTGTCCCCTCAGGATTGACGCCCATGCATCCGACGAGAAATGGCTAACAGGAAAGTAGTTGTGTTCAGAAAAGCTTTGAAGAAGTTTAGAATGATCTTTCTTTCCCGATCAGGGTCAAGGCCAACTACATGATCTGGCGTCTGGTGAGTCGGATGATCCCCTTCGTGAGCGAGACTTTCCTCGCCATCCGGCAGAAGTACCAAGAGGCAGTGGACGGCACGTCGACTCCCATGGCTCGCTGGCAGACATGCGCCAACAACGCCAATGAGCAGTACGAGTTTATCAGCGGTAGGATGTACGTGGATGACCACTTCCCTGAGGATGCTAAACAGAAGGTATGGGGCAGCATGCAAAGAGCAAATTCAGGGAGGAACATTAGTCAACGAGTGGTTGATTTGTGACGTAATCTACGCCTGCGCACTAACAACAAAGTCCGGACGCCTCATCACGCTTGACGCGCGCGTGGCTTTAGGTAACCAGCGATGCAACCGTGCCCCTGGTAGTCAACCATCTTTCGTTCGAGCAAAGTTAGTCGAACTATGGTTAACCACGGATCTTCTGTGTAGAGGATCCGTGGGTTAACCATAGTCATCCCCGGGATTTTTGAACACGTATGCAAATGAAGAAAAGTCTGGTGCCTGCATGTACGTTACATTAACGTTTGTTTTTGTATGCGATGTCTGGGGTAAAAACAGCATCAATTCGTCTTGCCGTGAGTTATGAAAACACGAATTTGTTTTAAGTTAAAATGTTACAATCTGGCCTGCCAATATGCAGTATCACATTTGATATTAATATGAGCAAACTGGAAAATGATCGTGAAAACACGTAATGCACGTTGGAAATAACAACACCAACTACACGATATAAATCACGCGGTTGAAAATAAAGTAAGCACTGGGGACGAGGTTGAGATCAGTGGTCCTTCCAACTGGGCTCTTGAAAATGGTCACAAAGCGCTCTCTACTGTTCATCCATGGAGTCTATAATGTTGATCAGCAGAACTCGACAGAACCAGTTTTCACGCTCTTCAGTGAAAAACTAACTAAGTGAGAACTAACTCTATTGGACTGAAACCAGAAACGAGACGTTTGGAGTGAAATGTATTCATTTCGAATAGTAGGCTATTTCATACCGATCTTTTTCAGTATGCGTTTCACCCTCAATCTATAACTCAATCTGAGAGTACGATTTAACCTCCTTGTTTAGAAAAATGTTTTTCACTGGCTACAAATTGGATTTGAATACTCAAACTTTGAATAATTATGATTTTGTTGCACTTCGTTTTTGCATTATATTTACTATTCATAAGATGGAGTTGAAGTCAGTGTGAGGTAATTTTGGTCACAATCACTCGGCGGCAACACAGAGTATACAGTTGTTATAAAATACGTCGGTGTAGGGCAAACCAAAATTCTGAATTTACATCAACCCAACGCAAAGTCCATTTTATGAATAGTTTCATTGCGATACCTGCTTCTATATCTCACTTGAACCAGCCAGGCGATCCCGGCAAGCTCGGTGGTCGAGTGGTAAGACGTCAGCGCTAGTAAGCAGGAGGTGGTGGGTTCGAGTCCCACTCCAGTGAATTTTTGTTTTAATCACTCGGGGGCAACACTGAGTATATTGTGTGTAAAATACATATTCACAGAGAGAAAAAACATATTCCGAAAACAAATCTTTGTAAATATCTAGAATTGAATGAACAAATGTTGAAAGAAAAAAATTGTAGACGAACTCCAAAAAGAATATTATACGAAAAAGTATAATATGTGTGAATTGTTTTCCCCGTAGACGCTTGAAATGATCCGCGATTTGCAGACGGCGTTCAAGTCCATGCTGAAAACAAATGACTGGCTGCAGGAGGCAGACAAGGGCGTGGCCGCTGAAAAGGTAAGGTCAAAGGTCATCAAGGTGACATTTCGAAGGTCAAAGGGTCGTTATGAAGAGCAAAGGTTAGCAACATTGTTTGTTTTACATTTCTAAAATGACACGCCTCGTGCGAAATGAGTTTCACACCGTAAGATCCGTGTGAGTCATACCACGAACTGGTATCCGTGCCTAGAAGTGTTGGGAGCCGTAGGCTATACAATATAAATAAAGTCCTGTCTCCTAGGAGATGTGGTCAAGTTGTGAGAAGAAGAAGAAAGACCAAACACAATATTTCGGTCATTGTGGTCCGAGTTCATCTGCAGATCCAGGGGGGGGGTGCCAAAAAAATGTTGGTCCCCAAAACGAGGTCACTTAAACAAAACAATTGGGTTCATTGGGGGTGGGGCTTGCCCCCCCCCCTGGATCCACCCTTGTCCGAGGTCACTTTGCAAAAAATATCTCGGAACCATTTCGCTGTGAATTTTCAAACGAATCTACTCTGCAATTAAGCCCCAAATCACTTTGAAGATTGGAAGGTTTTTCGTTACTCTGGACTCGGTCACCAGTTGATGCATGTGCTGTGTGTCACCACGTATAACAGGTGTAAATCAGGCCCTGTTTACTGGCTTTAATATTTTTTATTAAAAGATATTATTTCATGGACACGGAAAGTAGCCATTTTCAATGATTTTTGTTGTTGTTATTATCCCCATAGGCAGATGCTATGGACATCGCAATTGGTTACCCAGAATGGATTAAAGACAACGCTAAGCTAGATGCGAAGTATGCCGATGTAAGTAGCTAAAAAGAACGTGTGTAGTTTTAGATGACGATAATGTTAAATTCCACCCAGGTGTATGCTCGGCTGCCAGGGTAACCGGGATGCCGTCGTGCATGTATTTGCAAAATATACACATTATGTTGTCTCTTACACGTCCGCAGAATGCAACCACTGTCGGAGACAAAATTTTGCCCCCGAAATTCGTTCTCGCATGGTTCTCGCAGAAAATAACACAGAAATGTCCAGTTTTTAATGACGGTTTTGTGGACGTTCAAATTACTTTATTTAAATGCTCTTCTCATTAAATATAATTTCATTTAAAACGCGTTTTGTAGTCCAATCGGGCGCATTAAAGTGCGTTATCTCACCCATCCCAGTATGTGCACGATCGAATTGTGGTATTCTATAAAGATCACATAGTCCAGTGATGTCCTCTTTTAGCCAAAACGGAAAGATGACTGGTATGCGATTGTCTCTTTCCCTGCCCAAAGCTGACTGCCAAGGACGACGAGTATTTCCAGAATAGCCTGAGCTACCGCGAGTGGACATCCCAGGGTGACTTGGCGCTCTTACGTGAAGACGTGAACGAAGATGATACGCTGTGAGTAGGTTTTGAATGGTTGGATATTAGGTGTATAAGTTTCCAGTTGCATGATCTCAATTTCGTTCTTTTTCACTACGATAGTAACCTATATGTAGCTGTTTAAAGAACCAGCGGTCTTCCGCGGTTGAACAATCTAAGTTCAGCGTTCAGTTCAATAGTGAACAACTGTAAATATAATCTATTTGTTTGTTTGTTTGTTGGGGTGTTCGTTTGTTTGTTTCACGAGAAAAAAATGCTTCATGTCTTTTGTATGAAATACTTAAACAAAATTAATACATGTAATTTGATTATTTCCAGAGTTGACACTTTGTACATGTTTACATTATGAATTCTGTTCTGCTTCTATAGGTGGTCTATCATTGGACCGGCCGTCGTCAATGCTTTCTACCATCCATACAGAAATGGAATTTGTAAGTTATCGTTGCCTTTCTACCCTCCGAGCAGCTTATAAAAAAAAATCACACCGTGGAACCACGTGGAGAATTTTATCACCACATGTGTTTATTGGTCAATAACGCTAGCATGCCTGTACATGCACAAGATATAGGTCATTCACATGGCCAGGGATTGTTTTCAACCTGTCTTGGCTCCTTTCTCCACGAGGGGTTGACACAAAGGGACTTAGGGGCACTTAGGGGTTGGCCACTAAGAACTCACATTACTGCACAAAGGCATTGGGCGCCATCTTGGCTTCTGTCTTTCAACACTCCTTACTCCGGAGTGGGTAGGGTCTGGCCAATGGGAGTCTACAGACTTGTGGTGTATAGTAGGGGTGAGGATTACATGGAAGCTTGGCCTTATTTGCCCATTTGAAAAAAATATATGCCCATATTTGGAAAATGTGGAGAATGAAATCACCACTTTGCTGCTCGGAGGGTTACAGCCATATAATACAGAAGGCAAATCTACATCAGCCACCAATGACATTCATCATCACGGAAGGCTATCAGACCAAAAACACACACACGCACAATCTAACCACCATTGCAGCAACACATGCACTGTTTCACTTGCACAGGGCGTCCTGAAAAAATTGGTGCATGTAAACCCCTCCATTTTTGCTAATTTACAACCAACATTTTCTGCAGATGTTTACACCATCTTCAAAGTAATAGATTTAGTTTGAGAATACCGTTTGTGTCATTGAGATTGCTTTTCTAAATCCAAAGATATGTTTGAATAACGGCAAAGCCAAGAAACCCATTTTGTGCCACTTTCTGTGAAGCAGTTAAAATCAGCATAGTCCTAGTCTAAAACCAAATCACTTTACTGTTAGTGATTTTAACATTTTTAAGTAGAGTGTGCAATATTTATTTCTATTTAATTGAACTCTTCCATTGAAGTCTTAGAGAAGTGAACCTGTCTGTACTATTAAATTGTTTCAAGAACAAAACAGTCGCGTGAATGGAATGTTTGTCTTACACCCATAGGGATAATCTTATCAAAAGAGCCATACCTATCCGATGGCATTGTCTGATCTCTGAAGCACTCGCTTCCTAAAAGTGACACAGAACGGGTTTTTTGGCATTGCGGTTATTCAAACATATCTCTGGATTTACAAAAGCAATCTTAATTAAACAAACGGTATTCTCAAGCTAGATCTGTAACCTTGAAGATCGTGTAAACATTTGCAGTAAATTCCGGTTGCATATTTTTGCGAAAATGGCGGGGTTTACATGCACCATTATTTTCAGGACACCCTGTATATAAATCCAGCTACTCTAAAAACAACCGGGACAGATTGAATCCAACTCAGTCCGGGTTCTATTTCTGTGAACCTTTTTCTGATCGGTCAAAAATAATAATATAACCAAATTTTCCCTTGTCCTTTTCCCGTGAATTTCGGTGTTTTTACTAATTAGACCACGAGCAACAAAAATAACCTAATTGCGACTACAAAATGTTGTCTCTAAAGAGGGGCTGTGCCATTAGGGAGACAGTTATGTGTCTCCCTAAAAGCCGGTGTCTCTATATTATCGAAAAAAAATATTACGACAACGTAATGGTACATTTACTAATATAATAATTACTATAGCGCATTTGGAATCGAAGAACGGAATAATAGAAACAAAAAAACATTAGAAAGAATCCCACTTAAGACCCTAACTTTAACTAGAATTTGGCCGGAACAGCTGTTTTCTCAAATATCAATAAACAACCGTTACTGGCAATACTGTAAAACTCTATTTTACACCTTAAAAACTAAAATTACACAATTATTCACAGTTGCAAGAAATTACATGAGGAAAAACAAATTACGATTCAAAAAATGTTGAAGCTCTCAATTTAGTCATATAACAAGACGCCAATTAACTCAAGAATTCGGGTTGCGGTGGCCGGGTTCTTCCGACCGACCGAACAACCGACCGTTAGTCGAGACATTCATGAGTGATTTCAATGATTCTTGTACTAAAAAAAAAGCTTACAAAATAAGCTTTCATATCCTAGATGTTGGAAGTGCTACATGCAGAACTTAACTTAAACAGAAGTCCCGACATTTGGGTTTCGCTTTTCTTGACTCGCCCTGTATAGCCTACCAATGGACACCACCACCCTCCCATTGATCAACCAATCACGAACCTGCGACCGACATAATGCATCTAATGTTCTCAATTTTTCTATAGTGTTCCCGGCTGCCATTCTCCAACCGCCTTTCTACCACAAGGATCTTCCCTGGTAAGTAACAATCACTACAATCTTCTGAGTTCCATATTAGTTGTTTCCATTTAGCCTTTTCCAGATTTTTGTCCCATTAAAAATTGAAGTGAACAAGTGAAAGTGTTAGAACCATAGCAATTATTCTAGTTAGCTTGAAGTTTGTCAATTACCGTCGGGTTACGCTTCTCATTAAACTAATGTACAACATTTGCTTTTGCTACAATTCTCAGAAATAAATGGATTTGGAGGATTAGTATGTTATAGCAAAATATTGTTAAACCGACTTGTTTCACGTTTTGGGCTTGTAAATGCTGGAAAAAGCAAGAAAACCAATCATGTTCTTGAGGTCTGGCTCCCTGACCCCACTTAAGATGGAACAGAGCAATTTACTTTGGGGAATTACGGTACTTTCAGAGAATCAGTCTAGCAGGATTGTACTCCTTAGGTGTGTAATCCATTGCAAAGAATATGCGGAATAAGTCAATATGAAAAAGTAGGAGCAGTTTTGAAAAAAATGTCAGCACACCAGGAGCCACGATTTTACAGGATGCTTAAGTCTGTCATTCCCTAACAATACAGTAAGGTGCTTCGTGATAATTTGATCATTTCGTTTTTTGATGTTTGCAAATGTTGTATCTTCCCTTTAACCACTTTTCTTTCTTGCATTTCAGGTACTCCAATTATGGTGGCATCGGTGTCGTCATCGGGCATGAGATAACCCACGGTTTTGACAACATAGGTAAATTAAGCCTGGAAAGTCATTACAGATTCTGATACCTTTTGATAAATCTGAGTTAATTTTCAGAAAGAGGTCTGTATTTTAAACCATAAGGAGACTATTTCCGGGTCGTGCAAAGGTCGTGCACTAAAAAGGTCCATTCAATGTGGTACTTCAGGTTCTTGTATAGGAAACTTTGTTATATTTGATTTTAGATTTTGCTTTTGTTAGAAGCCGTACGTAGCATTAACGAAAACAAATAAAACTAATAACTTTGATTTTAATACTATCATGACTAAATGACGTTACAATTCATTTTAAAGGGGAGCATTTCGTATTTGTAAGTATTTTTGCTCATCGATTGATGGAAGACATTTTCCAATATGAATAGTTCCAATTCCAATATCTTGGTCTTTTTTTCCTCAAAGGGAGACTGTTCGACAAAGACGGCAACCATAGAGTCTGGTGGAGTCAAGCGTCCATCGGCAATTTCACGGAGAGGGCGCAGTGTATCATCGACCAGTACTCTGGCTTCGTCATGCCGCAAAACAACAGAAACGTTCGTTTCAGTTTTAGCCATTCCTTGAGTTATGCATGGCGGCCGCACTGTTAATATATAGCGCATTATATGGTGGCGAATCCTTTTTGTCAATATCTTTCTGTTTTCTATAAAAGCACAGAAGGGAAATGGCAGGTTGACCGTTCGAATCATTGTAAATTTACACAAGTTGAGGGTGACTGTAAGGTCAGAGCCAAATTCTGCTAAATGCACATCAGAACTCTGTCAGATTTATCAAAAACCTGCCATATTTCCTAGAATTACTCGAAATACACTGTAAACACTTAAAATCACATGCAGATTGGTAGTATATTGCCTTAATTAAGATTCAAATTACATAATAAACAATCTAGTGACATAAAGATGTCGTGAAATTATTGGTAAAAATTTTGGGCAAAACGCGGATCCGGCCACGACAAAGTCCGTTTCCCAGTGAACCTCAGCACCTAGACCAGCCAACCTGTCCCATTATGCAAGGGTTTGTTTGGAAGGATTGAAGGTTTTTTTCATACAAATGTACACCATATTTGCAGAATTCTGCCAGAAATCTGCCAAAAAAATCCATTCTGTCAAATTTTCTGTCAAACTTGTTTTTTTAACAAAACATCTGTCAAAGTTAGCCGAAAATCGGCTAAAACGGTCACCCTGCACAAGTTCTCCGTAACATATTTTGTTTAATTTTTACAGCTGAACGGAGAGCAGACGCAGGGTGAAAACATTGCTGACAACGGAGGCCTGAGAGAGGCTTACAAGGTAGCCTCAGCATGCATATCATGTCTTAAAATCATGTACATAAAATTGCAACTGTATCTTATTTTAGAAGTCATTTTGATTATCAAGGAAAGATTGTTCTTCGCCCAATCGGCTGATTGCATCTCGGTCACCAATATTAGGGCACAGATTAAGTTTTCTCGTAAGATTCGCTTGTTGAGCGTTCAGCGAAATTATTTTTTTTTGAATTTTTGCGAGATTTTTTTCGAGATGAATCCTTAATAGTTGCAAAAAACATACGCCCTCCTTAAATATCGTCACGTTAATGTATGGTACAATATATATTCCTCCCCCCCCCCCTCCCAAAAAAAACCCTCCTCTTGCATCCAGGCCTACATGGACAACATGCCCAAGCAACCTCGTCTCCCCGGCATCGACTTCACCGAAGAGCAGATGTTCTTCCTGTCATATTCCCAGGTAACAATGAAAACTGAGCCATTTAGCCCCGCCTACCGCACACGTGCGCATGCCTTTTGCCATGCTGGGCGTGTCACATGCAAATGCATACAGTATCGGACATTTCTCGGACAATCACGGTTGTGATTGGTCAATACACCTGGAGGTGGGGCTTAGTAGATCGGAATGTTATCAATGTTTTCATCATAACACACAAACTCAACCCCTTTGATAAATCGAAAAAGCTGAGTTTCTTGTTCATTCCATTATTTTGGTAATTTTCACCTAATTCAGAATCCAATTCACCCTCCAATTTACAGGCCCGTCCCTTCAAACATAATTTGAAGCTTTGTAACGTCATGAACTTAAAATGATTTATTGTCCCACTCCAAAAGGTTTCATGTAAGATTTGACAAGGACCTTATCCTTCGCTCTTGTCTTTCTTACGTATAACAAAAGTTTGAATAATTGTCATCGTGCAACTCTGTTTAGCCATTTTTATGAAACACATTAAATGTTTTTGGTGCAATCAAGATTTGGTGCAGTGTGTTCACACCAGAGGCAGCGGATGACTACATCGAAACTAATGTGCACAGTCCTGGCCGATACAGGTATGTTTTTTTCGATGCATCGGCTGAATCCATTTTGGCAGCAGCAGCAGCATCAGCAGCAGCAACAGCAGCAGCAGCAACAACAGCAACAGCAGCAACCACAGCAGCAGCAACAACAGCAACAGCAGCAACCACAGCAGCAACCACAGCAGCGGCAACAGCAGCAGCAGCAGCAGCGGCAACAACAGCAGCAGCAGCAGCAGCAACAGCAGCAGCAGCAACAGCAACAGCAGCAGCAACAGTAGCAGCAGCAGCAGCAGTTTCAGTTTGTGGCAGCAGCAGTTTGTGGCAGCAGCAGTTTGTGGCAGCAGCAGTTTGCGCACAAGAACGACGTGGTAGCACTGTAGTTACCAAAATGAAAAAAAAAAAGCTATAACTTTTTTTTCTCAAAATTTACCAATTCTAGAGCTTTAATCAATCATTTCTATGAAAATACATTTCCACAAATGATAACTCCATCTCGCCTTATCTTTCTCGTTCGCACAGAACCATCGGTGCGCTTCAAAACAACGAGGCGTTCAACGCTGCATTCAGCTGTCCGGCTGGAAGCTACATGAACCCGGACCTCAAATGCAGAGTCTGGTAGCCTATTACTTCCTCCAACAATAGATCTTATGCTTTAGCGGCCATCTTAGAGGGCATCATTTGTCATAACAATGAATGCACGAAAGGTTCGTTCATGCAAATTGCTGCAGCAAAACAAAGCCATTGCCCTCTGCTACGCAAAAGGTCTATCGTGGTGAAGTGTTCATCGTATCTTAATATTCTATTCTCCATTTGCAAAACATCAAAATTGAAGAGCAAATTACAACTTAACTGTGACCATATTCTTGATTGGGGTTGAAACTTTAATTTTTATTTTCCGGTTAATTTACTGGTAACCGTGTTCATAACACGAACAGTGTGGACGGAACAAAGTACGTCTAGAAATGTTCTTCTGTCAAATTGTTTTTATTTGATTTTAAGCATAGGGCTTATAGTATCATTTGCATTTATCCCTTTTACCCAGTAAATGGCGTCTTTAAAACATCTTCCGAAGGTTAAAAATGTGTTAGATTTGTCGCTGTCATCATTTCCTAATGATACAGATTTTTATATTTTTATTTTGTTTTATATATATATTATATATATATATATTGAATTTTGTATTCCTCCTGATAATTGTTGTCTTTGTCTAAAATTGAAAAATAGATAATAGTCATGTCTACATATTAAAGAGAAGATACAACATTTGCAAACATAAAAAAAAACCGAAATGGTCCAATTATCACGAAATACCTTACTGGATTGTTAGGGAATGACAGTCTAAAGCATCCTGTAAAGTTGTGGCTCCTGGTGTGCTGACATTTTTAAGAAAAACTGTAATTTTCCAACACTGGTCGGCCGACCAGCGCTGGAGAACTTACTGGCTTTTTTTCAAAAAGAGCTCATAAGTTTTCATATTTAGTTCGTATGCGTTTTCTTTGCAATTGATTACACTCCTGTGAAGAAGTACACGCCTGCTAGACTGATTTTCTGATTTAACAATTCCCCAAAGTCTATAAATTGCTCCGTTTCATCTTAAGTGGGGTCAGGGAGCCCGACTTCAAGAATATGATTGGTTTTCTTGGTTTTTCCAGCATCTACGCACCCAAAACGTGAAATGGTCAGTGTAACAGTATTTCCTATAACATTTTAATCCTCCAAATCCATTTATTTCTGAAAAAATGCAGCAAACGCAAATGTTGTACATTCCCTTTAAGTAGCATTAGAAGGATTAGTTTCAGTTGGTTAAGCGGGCTTAATATGGTTTATGCGAACTTTCGTTTTACATGTAATGGCAGGGCAGTTTTTAAGGTGTTGGACGTACAGTTTGGGAAATAGAGTCTGAAAGTGAATCACCGCTGGTGGCGCGCTTCCGGACCCTTGAACAGGAAAATTAACGTTCACAAATTCAAAAATTATTTTTAGTACATTGATTTCTTAAGAAAATCGCCCCCCCCCAAAAAAAGGCCTTTGTAAAATTGTTAGTAGCACACCCATTTGTGGAAAATGATAAATTGCCTGACGTGAAAGAGAAATGTCGTGCCAAAAATTGACCTCTCACCTCCGAAAGCTAAAGTAAATGCGGACTGTTGTGCAAATCGGTGTACTCGTACAGTACATCGGATGATTTTTTTGTGGCGGTCGTTTGGTGAAAGTGTTAAGTTAAATAGAAGACCAAAATGTCTTTTAGGGATTACAATCTTGTTAAATAAACTTGAAGGACTCATTAGCATTTTACAAAAAAGAAATCCAAAGTGACCGCTGCTATTAGGACTGCATGTCCAGCCAGCCCGACTAAATCCAAAATTCATAATAGCTAAATCTTCGTGTCGTTATACATTCTCGTTCTCACGCGATTATGCGATGTGAAAACAAACGTGCACGAACAAGGAGACCTAGGAACGAAAATGCTGGATATGAAAGGTTGTAAACGAAATTCGCTTTTACCCATCTCCAAGTGGTTTTTATTTTTCATTCTTTTTTTTGTAAGAATATCAAGATTTCAAAATTCCAAAATAAACGTTTCTCAGGGTGGTTACAGTCAGAAAACATTCCGTCAAAAATTGTAGCAAGAGAAAGGGCAACCCCTTGTAAAATGCCCATAGACGGACCGAGCGATGTTTCCGGAAGTGAGTTAGCCACGTGACCTTTAACCTTTTACTTTCGGGCTCTATTCAACACTGTGCATAATAAAAGTTATAATCATAAAATTCGATTTATTGTAATTCTGATAATATGTATCAGTTAGCTACTAGTATACTTTAATGATTTTAAACAAGACATTCATCCAACTTTTTTTTATATTTTGCTGTAGTATAAAATGGGCTCAAAGCATCATATGGTGTCGGGCGTAGTCGACAAATTGATTTGTCAGTTTAATTAATGATAATTTGGCTAAAAGTAGCAGCTGAGCTGTCGGACATTGTTAGAATATATACTTTATTTTTGCAAGATACAAATAATAAGCTTCAAAACGATATACCTGTTTCATTTTGTGGCATTTGGATTTTTGAAGTTTTGCATTTAGGTCGCTACCCCACACACCATCGAACATGTCATCATTACAGTTTTTCCCACATGTGCTTAGTCTAGCGCCCTCTTTCGTCGTTGACAACTTAATGGGCGTTAGGAGAGGTTCGCACCCACCGCCGCCCTAAACATGTCAACAATAACAGGGCGCTGGGAAGGTTCCAATCAGTGGCGTAGATAGAGGGGGAGGGCAGAGGGGGCACTTTGCCCCGCTGGCGGATTTTTTTTACAATGTTGTTTTTCAGCAAATATTTTAATCAATGGTTGGAGAGTTCTGACATCAATCCTAAACAGGAAAACCCGCTCAATGCGCCGTGACAATGGGCATATAATTTGCACTATGCATAATACTGTTCAGTTTTGAAGAGCGCCCCTATTTGGGAGATGGGAACCAGCCCCCCCCCCCCCCCCCCCCCCCCCCATTTCGATCAACGACTGGAAAAATGTGCCATGGACATGGCTGGATCTCCTATTAAAAGGTCCGTGTAATGCAATGTTTTTAGTCCATCCATAAAGTGCATTCTTGTGTCCCATTTGACTTTCTTTTCAACAAAATTTGGTATTTCTTAAATTACGCCGTGAACAAAGGTAGTCATAATGACAGTTTGAACTTTGTTTTGACATGGTCACATTAATAAGTATATGCATTTGTACTGAAACAAATTCAAGAAGTAGACTTTTGTTTCGTTTGAAAGTTTATTGTAGGTTTCCCCGGCTATTTTAAAACGATTATTATTCGAATTCACTTGTTTAATATTTAAATTCGTCCATTAATATCGATTAAAATCTCTTAATTCGTTTAATTTCGTCTTTTGTCCAAGACAATTTCAAATTCAGTTCAAGCAAATTCAAACAATGAGCACACGACATGTTTTCGTCCCGGATAAATCCATTTCGTCTCGTCTAGGCCTATGCCAAACCTTGTTATTCAGATATCAAATTCGTAAACTGATTGATATAAGACGAATTCGATCTCTGAATGCTGCCATTCGGCAACAGCTTGGCCGACTTCGATCTGTAATGGCAAATATTCTCAGCCCGGTGACTCAAAGAAGATGACCATGAGCTTTGAAATTGAATGTCAAATCACTAATTTGGTTTTCTCAAAAGCGTGTGACATTTTTCGTGGACGAAATTGAATGAAAGAGTTGTTGAATTTGAATGAAAAATCTTTCTGAATTTGAACGTAAAATCAATTATTAAATATCAATTGCATATTTTGTTGCAACTTTCACTCGGGAGGTAAACACACTGAGTTCATACAGTGTTCATGCGTCCATGAAGGGCAAAACTAATATTGAATCACTCCGGTGCAAATTCCATCTTACGGATGACATGTTTACCCATGACAGTGAGCCATTGTATCGCCTCCATTCATCTCAGCTTGCAGATCTTTTGATATGTTAAAATCGGATAATGTGTCCATGGAGGATGGCGCAGTCAAACGGACAATTACGTGGCCACGAGATCTCTACCGTAACTGACATGGGCCAGTAATTCGCGTTTATGTATAGCATCTGTGTTGCACTCTAGTCTGTACGAACATGGAGATAGAAAGTTGGCTAGAGATGAGACGAATTCACATTACTTTTTTGCAACTAATATAGGTTGATATTGGAAACAGACCTAAACCCTTCACCTGGCAAAACAACAGAGCTTCACAACCGACAAAGGTGAGAGTAAAATGATTTCAAGTTGGCAAGACAGTGGTTGACGAAGACAAGGCTCTAGACAGGGTCTGCCGTATTCCGAAAATCATGTACATGTATTCCCAAAAGAAAATACCACTGGTACATGAAACAACCGGTCCAATATCCTGCATCAAAGAAATATCTTTGGAGAGTAGCGGTACTTTTCTCGCCTTCCACCGCTGTGACCCGGGTTCGAATCCTACCTCGGCCAATATGTGGATTGGGTTTTCAGGGCAAGATTACCATCAGTGTTGGAGCAAAGGCTTTGACCCTCAAGGCTCGAGGCCAAGGCCAAGGCCAAGGCTTAACCCTCAAGGCCAAGGCCAAGGCCAAGGCCCTGTTTTATGAAATGACCCCTGATATAGAACTAATTATAGTCACATGAGTGACACATCATCACGCAAGGGCGGATCCAGAACACAATTTGGGGGGGGGGATTTTGTTCCCCCCCCCCCCCCCAAAAAAAGGTGGGTCAACAAATTACGGCTTGGGCTTCGGGGCCCACTTAAGGGCCCCGAAAAAAATTTGGATTCGAGATGCTCTGTGATGCGATTTGAGTCAATTTCTGACCATTTTAACCGATGTTTTTTGAGGAAAAGATGGTGGTGTACTCATTGCCTGCCCTTATTACGACGTCACATAAAGAAAAAATGGTTTCGTTTTTTTTGGGGGGGGGGGGCATGGCCCCTTTTGACCCCCTGGATCCGCCTTTATCATCACGAATTGCTCGTTACGAAGAACAACATTTCTTTAATTGCAATCAACATGCTCACATAGGCCTACCTGTACACCGTTTTATGATTGCACTGTATCTATTAAAGTATAAGTTCAGGTCTTCAATATGGTTTAACTAAACAAATATTGATTTACTTCTATATTGACACACAATTCTCCCAAGTGTAACAAAAGGGGGATCCAAGAAACTGATTTGGGAAATTTTTATTTGCTGGCCCAACATGGTCAGAAATATCAGCATTATCTAAAACAGATACATGCAAATCTTTAGCACTTATCAGGGAGACATGTACAACCAATCAGATCTATTCCATAGTTATATGCAATTAAAGTGATCATCTCATTAGCCCCACAAGTGTACGGAATATTTTTGCAGCAAATCTACTACAATGGTAACAAAATATGATGCTATAAAAGTGGAAGTGTGCCCAACACTCAATTCTATAGGGTGCTTCCCTCCTCCATAGTAATACGATTAAAATGGTAACATTTATCTGGAAAATGCAAAATCTATGGGCCTTGAAGAGCCTTGACTCAAAATTGCAAGGCCCTGAACCCTCAAGGCCAAGGCCAAGGCTTTTGCCCTCAAGCCTCGAGGCCAAAGCCAAGGCCCTAAAATCCAGCCTTAAGGCAGCCTTAAGGCCAAGGCCCCGCATCAAGGCACTACATCACTGATTACCATATGCGAAGTTCACTAATTTTCCTCTGTATTGACTGACAAGCCCCCCCCCCCCCCCCCCCCAGATAGCAATTTCATGTCATCAAAGTC